TCAGTCTTTTCTATCTTAGTCTAAAATTATTTTGTTCATAATTTGAGTCTTAATTAACGGAAAAATATTGAAATTTGAAAGAAAGGTACTTGGTTGCTACAAGTTTATGTGTGAAATCATAATTGTGTTGTGGAAAATGGAAAATTTATGGCTGAGGACTTTGTGTTGATATATTTCGAGTTTTTAACAAACTAATCATAGACCAAAAAGAAAAAGAAAAACTACTTGGTAATCTTCTAAGAAACTAAATGGATATATGCATTGATGTCCAACAACAGTTTTTTTTATTTCTTGTGAAATAGTACAATTTAGTTATTTATGATTTAAAATTTTAAAAATTTAAAATATATATAATATAATATAAATGAAATTATTTTTTTTTACAATATTTTATTAAAACGCGTTACAACTATGTAACTGTATCACCTTCATGTGTGGGCACAGCTCCCACTCTGAGTCTTCTTATGTCAGCAACGCGTGGGGTCCTATTCCTTTCACAGAACTAAATATGCATGCATGACGTGTCTCTTGGTGGGCTGGCCAATACGTTTTTGCTAAGTCTGAATCCCACACACATAATTAACTATAACTTTCTACGTTCAATATGGACCAATTAAGCCCAAATGTGGTTCGATTCCTGTTGGTTGGTCCTTTTCAAGTTTTCTTAAATTTTGTATATCATACTTAAATTTTGTACATCAGTACCGTATCATTTGAAAAATCTCAAAAAAAAAGGAAAAAAAGGAGAAAAGAAGTGCATATCTAAGTTAAAATGTAGCTGAAGATAATTATTAATATACATATTAATTTAATATATTTGAAAATACATTTATTATGAAATTATTAATTTTAAATTTAAATTTAAAGTGAAAAAATTTTCACTTATAAAATTTAATAATTAAATTAATAAATATTAATAAATATATTGAAATGAAAAATATATTAATTATAACCCATATACCGAACTTAGTTTTCTCACCCTTACGCAAAAGTCCTATAAATAGTAGATTAGGTTGTAGCTTTTAGCTATATCCTAGAAGAGGCATTGGTACAACTCATTTCATTTTATAACATTATTATGGCTTACAATTTCAACAGAAACATGCTTATTCTTTTTCTTATTGTACTTTTCTTCCAAGTTCGATTCTTTGAGGCGAGACAACTAGCCTCGAGCAAGGGAAAATTGAATGCTCTCCTGCTTAAGGTCCTTAGAACTCCTCGTCTCGTGAATGGTCGCGCAATTGCTCAAGATGGAAGTCGCATTACTGGCCAACACAGCGCACGTGCCTTCTTTGACAGAGATCTTTTGTCTAGTAATCCTAGTCCTGGGGCAGGACAAGGACACTAGCCGCTTTGAGGAGACCGAAAGTTCTGAGTTGCATGATATATAGTCTACCATATGTGTTGCGTTTGTGTTATTTCATCTAGTAATTACTGTAGAAAAATGTAAAGAATAGACATGATCTTCTTATATTATGTT